AATATATTAAATCTTTCTTTTCTCCCTTTATATAATATATAATATATAATATATAAATATTAGACTTCCCAGGTCTTTCATACATCTCCGCATTGCCATGCTGTGAACGATATTACGAGACGGCTATTTCCATCACGTGATTCCATCTATATAGTAGCATAATAGAATTGTACTTTCCGTCGCTTTACGAGTTGCCTTCTCACGAGAACGGGTGGTGCGATATCTATACGTAAGCGTTTTTGTCGATTGAACTGCGTGACTGGAAATGCTCGACGAAACTTAGAATTTTCGAAGTCCCGGATAGAAAATTCATGAATTTCTCGGCGCCGGATATTCCCGCAGAGCTTTATAAGCGTGCAACGTTTTGCTGGCAAGAAAAAAAAGATTTTTTTCAACATCAGTAAAACTTTTGCGCTTTGCAGAAAATTTGAATGCTCCAGTCAAGAATTCGCATGTGGCACGTTGTAATCCCAAATCGCGATTTTCCCATAATCGCGACACGCCCTTTCCCAACATGCCCATTCCCTCCGAAGTGAATCGCGTTTTACAGACGAACGCAAACTGGAGGTCAGTTCGTTTCGAATTGCATTAAATTGCTCACCCGCGCACATGTTTTTTTTACCTCCAAACAAGTATGTAGATATATATCGTTATCGCGTCGTTTAACAGAGAGATACCTGCGTAACGCGTAGCAACCCTACCGCCAACTTTTTTTTCACGAAAAAAAAAATGGAAAATCGTGAAGCGAATAACAATTTCCTCGTCGAGTGAATATTTGAATCGATTTGGGAATCGGGTCCAGTGTTTTGCGCACGCTATTCACCACATGCCATGTTACCGATGAATGGCCGATTCGATGCGAAAATCGGTGCACGCAGATGCGCCGGTCGAGGCCCACCGTGTCGTTGCGCGCAACCCGATATCTGATCGTGCGTGAGTCACGCGCGCTGAATTCGCATTAGCGGGCAACGCGTATCCGCGGAAACGTTAAATCGTAAAGCATGTCGTAACCGTTACGGCGAAACAGCAGGGGGTATGTGCGGTTGACGCTGGGAATATAATGCAAGATAACTTGACAGTTAGCCCATTCGTGTGCTTTCCATCCGGGTGTGGGACCGGCAGATAAGCTGCGAAGCGATCGCCTTTGATTTTACGAGATTTCCATTCCACTTTGTTTGAAAGTCAAACGTTGAACGCAGAAAACATCGACACGCTACTTGCGAGTGTTTTCTAAAGGGCCATTAATAAAAATTAAGCGGCGTCTACAATAAGATTTTAAGGTATAAAATTTAAGCTTTAAGCTTTAAGTTGTAAGAAATTCATCAATCATAGTCGAACGTGAAGGAAATAATCGATTATAATTGATCATTTTCCTACAACTTAATGCTTAAGCTTAACATCTTAATTTTACACCTTAAAATTTCATTGTAAACACTGCTTAATATAATATAGTAATTATTTGTAAGAAATCGATCAATCATAGTCGAATGTGAAGAGAATAATACGATCAATTTCTTACAGTTTATGACTTACTATACAATCTTACTCCCATTGTAAACGATTCATAAAATCGTACAGTTTCTGTGCTTCGCAATGTCTGAAAACTTTCCCGTAATGTTGAATTGCAGTTAATGTTGACACAATAAATTAAAGTATCGAAATGTACCAATGACTAACTAATAAAAAAATATCTTCAGTTCTACATTACGGTTCTCATTTTCTTCGAAATATCATAGTACGTATATACCGCGAAAAATTTTTTCATGCTGAACACGATGTCGCTGACAGAAATTTACGTAGCATGGGACTTTAAATAAATTCAGGTGAAATGGATCAAAAATCACTTCAATTTACTTAAAATCCTGATGTACTATGTAAATTCTGACGACGCGATAATATCGTGTTCAGTGCAAAAAAAATCTTTAAAATACGTTCTATCGCACTTCAAAAAGAAAAAATATTTTTGTTGAAATGCGTAATTATGCAGAAAGTTAAAAATTCAAACAGCCATAACTTGATAAAAATAAATCGTACGCGCGATCATAACTAAAATTCATTTGTAAGTTCTTAATTTATACAATATACTTTTAAATGCCACAAATTTTATTTAGAAATAAGTTTTTGTTTTTCTCTGTAAAAAAAATTTTAAAAATGTTGACCAAAAACACTATTTCATCCTATTATACTCGAAATGAGATGTGCTACGCAAATTCTGTCAACGGCATTGTATTCAGTATAAAAAAATTTTTTGCGGTATGTACATACCGCGATTTTGAGAAATCAACGACTTTATTTTGGAAAAAGACTTTACTTTTAGAAAAACTCTACAAATTTAAATAATTTATAATTTTTTTTTCACTTTATATAGAAGTAAAATAAGAATCATCATTCAGGTGTTGAGAAAGATACTATCATACCGATTAATGAAATTATTGAACTAAAATGTTTTAAATTTTAATTTTCAGTTTCTTAAAATAAAAAAAAACACATTACATATTTAGGTAAATAATTAAATACAGTACAATATTTCAAAAAATTCAAAAATATAAATACTGTTTTACTTAAGATAATAAGAAGATGAGTAAAAATGTGATTGAAATGAGCAATTTTTATACAAAATATTTAATTTCCTCCTTTTTTTTGGCATTTCTTGCTGTTATTAACAAATATCTGAATTGATTACAAATATATTGTCGATTCTTCAATCACTGAACATATTCAATTATCGAAAACATTTACTTTATATAATTAAATAATTATAAAACATGAATTGTATTCAATCAAACATAATCGTTGAAGCTTAACGCGGTCTCCCGAGGAATGTGGTTAGCGAACTTTGTGCATATTGCCGCGTTTAACGTTCAGTAGCATTTATCGTGCATTGTCATTCGACAGTAAAAAGTGACATTCCCATAAGTCACCCGCGATCGTTGTTAACGTGGTTTATTCAGGACCAGATTCCGTAGTAGATAAGCGGAAACCATTCGGCCGCGACGGGGAGCGCGCGGCCGTGCCATTTCACCTCGGAAAACCAGCCTGTGAAATAAAAATCTCGGAGCTGGGCAAACAAAGATTAATCTCCGCCGGCGTCACGAATGGAAATCGCACCGGTTTCCGGGCCATCGATCACCGGTAGCAAAACGCCGTCGCTTGCTTGCTCGCTCGCTCGCTCGCTCGCTCGCTCGCTCGCTTCGTGTCGCGCCGCAGGTGCGCCGGCAGAAGCGATCCAAAATTAACCTAATTAGCTGTGCGATTAGCAGCTGCAGACACGGCGACGGCGAGGGCGCGGACGCCGTCGACGTCGCCCGTTCTTACCCTCGTCTCCCGCACATCCACATTGCGGAATCCCGGCGGCAGCCGGAATGACGGCGCGGCAGCACCGAAGCCGGTCGAGCCGCGTGCATTAATGGATCCGAAGAGGGTGCATTACTCCATACGCATGCTATCTCGGCGCGGCGTCGTGTCTAATTATCCGAAATAATTATGCGCACATGTGCGGACCGCTTTTCAGTAAACGCACCGACGTACCCGATGCGTCGCGTACACCGCCAGGTTCGATTTGCCACATCTCGTCTAGGTGGTTTGCGTATTTGCGGCCGCCGCAAATATCACTTCCTGCGTTAGACAAGATCGTTGATTGTGTAACGCTTGATGCTATATAAATTAATTGTTGTGGCGGGAGAATGTATACTAAGAAAAGAGTATTTGTAATTATAATTTAATAAGGAAATAATTATAAGAAAATAATTATGATTAGATATGTATGTATAAAATTATAATCTTTTTGGATATGGAATTATATAAATGTTATTTCTAATATTATATAATTGTAACTGTACGAGAAGAAAGATTTTGTTAAAGTATATAATAATTCAGATAAATACAAATCTATAAAACTAAAAATAATTATTGGACTACCAAGATAATTATATAGAACACTCAAACATAATGAGCAATACTGTAAGAAGTTTTGACATTCTAGTAATCAGCTTATGTTTTCTATATAATTATCATAATGGTCCAATAAAATTATTCTTAGATCTGTATCTATCTAAATTTTTAGATAATTCAGTAAAACCGTTTTTCTGTATATAAAAGTGGTATTCTTAACTATAATTATTTTATCTTATTAATATATATTTATGCAAGTAAACAAATACCAAATACGAGTACTTTTCTTTCAGTACGTGTAATTGTTGTTGACTTCTGAATAATACCCAGGACTAGTGTTTTTTCGTCACAACATTGAATATGACGCGATGGCAATGTATTTTTTTTTTTTTTTTTGAACATCGAGTGGGATACGTGCTTTGGCAAATAAATTTCAGTTTGCCACTAGCAAATAGGTTTGTCAGAACGCGATCCGTTCAGTAGCGGCCTTTAATTTCTGGTGTACCGACATAAATGGATTCGATGAGCAAACCAGACCCGTGACCATGCGTTGTCGACTAGTAAAGCATAGTTAAGTATGTCGGCGGAGCGGAGTTCAATTATCATTCATTAAATTATGGCAGGAGCGCGCATGCGGCGCGCGCGGAAGTGGCGACCTATACACTCGTTGCTATTGTTGCTGCTATTGCAATTATTGCTGATGTTGGAAGAATTAGCGTTGTCATTGAATGAATTAATGTCATCATTCCTGCGGCGGACGCTCTCTAATTATTGCTATCGCAATGTGATAATTTCGATCGATTCCGGTCTCTTTTCCATTTCACATATAGCACTCAAATCTTTCCAGGTTTTTAATGCATTCTTGCTTCATGTTAGTCGCAAGATTATGGAGCATTTATACACAGCATTTAAATTTACGCAAATTTTTACACATATGCAAACTAGCTTGAAATAAAAAGAGAATACTGATTGAATCAACATCTATATGAGACCTATTCTGTAACTCATAACTTAACGATTGTAATACTACAGTTACAGTCGTTAAGAATTACAGAACAAACGCCTATATCTCACAATAAACAATGTCTCATAATATTTACGAAACGTACCGTTCGCTATAATGACGTTGTTTTCTCGCGTCCAATAATTGATGGACTTGGGAAACGCCTCGGAATGGCATTCTAACGTCATTTGCTGGCCTTCTTGTGCGCCCACTAATTGATTCTGGATCCAAATCATTGGAGTAACTATTAACATCGAAACGTTAATAATTATAATAACACTTAAATACTTGAATAAATTATATATAATACACTCTTTTGAAGTAGCTACTTACAATGTACAACAAGCATTATTCTCTTGCTGACCGTTGGCGGTACGCCATTAGACGCGATGCAAAGGTACGCTCCCATTTGCAACCTGTTCACTTTCGTGATATTGAAAACCGGTCCATCAATGCTGGGGACTGTAACAAATAAAATTAAACCGTTAAATCAAGAAATCTATTTAGTCCTTATTAGTAACGCCAATTAGTATAAAATAGTAGGGACAAATTCTATTACACTGAGAAAGAAAAGTGTTTGATAGTTCTGATTATAATTGCACGGGAAAATAATTATAGTTTTATGTTATATATATATATCTTTATAGTTATTGTCGTAATATTAGTAATAAGAATAATTTATGTATTAGGTTGAAACAAAACTTCGTAGCTTTATTATTATAAAAGTCTGTTACTTCATGTATCATGTTCATATGTTTTAAAAAAATTTACAATTATGTTATTCAATAGAGCAAAATTTCAACTTTAAGAATCTGTTTTTTTTTTTCGGTACGCGATGATTTTAAACGGAATTATAAACAATCAAAATCTAAATTTTTTTTTATTTAATCCATGATAATTCAATAATAAAATATCTTAGAAATATTTTTAAAAGCCAATTTTGTAAGAAAAATTTTATACTTTTACGGTAGAAAGTCAAACATTTTCACAAATTTTTTTCATATAACAGGCATACAAAGTGAGACAAAATTTCTTATTCTGTCCAGCTTGTAATTTTTTACATGTAAAAATCAGCAGACTCACAGAAACTCAGAAGATATAGCGATATTTCAAAAAATAGAGATTTAAAAAATTCTTTTTTTAAATGAAATTGCATTTAAAAAGTTTTAACGACATTACAACTGTCTGAATTTTAAAATTCCTAGAGCTACAAACCTTCATTTCAACGCAACATTTCTAATTCTACAAAAAGAATACATAGTTAGCACAAAAAATAACTATAAATTGTAGTTAAATTATAGCAATTGCAACAATTTTTTTTTTCAGTGTATCCTGTTAAGTCGTCATTGTTCTTACTCAATATCATTATCTTATATATTAAAACAATTGATAAATTTAACACTATATATAAAATGTCAAATTTACTCACTGTTTTAATATAATAAAATAATGATATATTGAATAGAAGCAGTGACGATTTAAATTAGATTAAATTTGATACTATAGATAGATAGATTTAACAGTGTAAAGTAAAAGATAATCGTATTGACAACTGTTGTGTGTGAAAAATCAAAGATATATTACAATTACAAAATTATTAGATATTAAGATCTTCTAAATCTCTCTTACAACTATATATTTTATTTGTTCCATTCGGAAATACAGTTGGAACCTAAATCTAGTTGAGCGACATGGAATACAAATTCAGCATATCAACAAGAAGTTTCATCAGTCCCGTACAAAAAATTCTGCAATCGAGATTCGAATTAATACACGTCGAGTATGTTGCTTCGCAGCATTGCGTAACCGATACTAATCACCGTGCCATCGTTTTTACCGCATGGTCTAATCTCCGTTAACATTACACGCCATTCGCAAAACCTATCTTGCACCATGGGCGAAACACTTGTCGAGAAGCTTTTTGCCAGTGTACATCTTACTCAGTTGCGAATATTATGAATGTGCCCAGTGGTGCCAAATAACTCTCGGCTCGAGCATTGCTCTCTCTAGCTATCGTGAAATGTATACGTTCGCTGTTCAAACATAATTAAAATTATTATGTGTACGCAGACAGAATGGTTTTTCTGAAGTATTTAAAAATTTAAGTACATATGAATTTGAAATTAATTTCGCTGAATTCAAAGTAGTTGTATTGAACACTCAAACACGATGAACAATATCGTAGAAAGTTTTGTCATTCTAGCAATCAACTTGAGCATCCTACGTAATTATTTTAACAACTATTTTGATGCAACAAAATTATTTTCAGATCTGTATCTACACAGTAAAAAAGATTTTGCATTCGTGTTAAAATCTTTCAATCCGGTTTTTGTGGTACTTTATCTAACATATTCATCTTTAATTAACACAAAAATTAACACAAAAATCTGAATGATCTATTTAAAAACATGCGAAATTC